TGTGTGTGTGTGTGTGTGTGTGTGTGTTTGTATGCTCAGCTACGTATTTAGCAAAATATTTCAACTTAAAGATAGGCAAGCCAAGAAACTGTATTTTTTAGGATAAAGTTCTAAATGTGCACGAGAAGTATGCTCAAAATAACGGGAAGTGAACCCGAAATTCTGATCTTTGGCCTTAGACTCGGATAGCCGACCAATTTTATAATTTAAAAACCGAAGAAATTCATATACGGAATTTTGAGGATAAAATGCTTTTTAACAGCAGCAGTTTTTTTTTACCATTCAATGAAAATTGTAGAAGATTTTTTTGGGAGGAGAACAGTTCGCTCCAAAACAACGCTGTTTTCTTCGGAACAGTTTACTCCAAAGCGTTAATAGCAGAATTTTAGAACTAAAAGATTCAAGGGCTTATTTATTATGCATTTTAGCGTGTAGCGTTTAGAGCGTTGCAACAAAAAGACGCATATTACGACAGTCCTACCGGAGGATGTGATTTGCTCTTTTCATGGGATCTTTTTCGCACCCCAGTAACTTTCCTTTTGACGGGTCGCTGAAGCCGACATCCATAATTAAAACACCACATAGCTGCACAATTAACTATCCGAAATTGGAGGGCCGGTATGTCACAAATTCTAGCTAATGGAATTCCTTGCTATCTTGCTACAGCACGAAATAATGCAAAAAACCCAGGCTGCAAAGCATCAGGCTTACAGTTGCGATCATGCGTTTTTGCGCTAAACTTGCAGATCACTAACAGTATGAATGGTCCCTACGCTGTACTTTAACATTACTCATAATGGCTCTGCTTTAACCTCTTCCCGCAAGCAGGGGGAAAGGACTTCAACTGGGGTGAGGTATTGCATTGTAGGCCGTATAGACTTCTAGTGTGTATGACTACTACTAGTTTTTCGCACGAAGACCGGTCGTTTTTCCGGTGAATGCTCGTTCATTGAAAAAATGCAAATTTAAAGGAAGCCAGGAGCGGATCGTGAAATTTGCAAAATGCACTCGCTTTTGACTGCAATAAAATGAAGTATTTGTTCATATCTGCGTGCAGGGAATTTCACTTCCAAACTGAATTAAGACCCATACCTGAACATAGAATACCCTTGCAAAGCTTCAGCTTCGCAGCTTGTTTGGTAAGAGAAATAGCCACTTCACTACAAATATCCAAGCCGTGGTGCAAGTGCAATTCGAAACTCAATTTCTGTGTATGATTTTCCATATTAACAACAAATATTCTGACAAAATTTCAGCTATCGTTTTTTGGCTAGTTTTCGAGTTAGCATAGTACTGCAAACTGTGACGTGATACTGCATCATACGCCCTTATAAGTGTATGCAAAAGCTGAATTTCAAATCTTTAACCCACATATGTACAAGTGATATTCCATATCCCTGCAGAGTTCCAGCTTTCTACATTGTCTTGTTCACGAAATCTTATCCCGCCAAAAAACTTGCATATCCTTTCGAAGGTCTGTAGGCGAGATCTGAGCGCGTATGAGCGAAGCATTGAAATGGGCTAGTGACACATGGGATTGGAATATGACTCCGAAATTTTAGCCTTCCTGTTTCCCTGTGTTGCTGTTCTGAAAGTTGGCGACAAAGCCCACTCACCTCCGAATACACATACACACACGGACGACCTCTTGATAATATGCGTTTTTGTTCACTATAGCAGTGCTACAGCGCACAGCAAAAGCACATAAAAACCTGTAACTGCATTGATCCAGCTGGTGCTCCTTGTCAATGATTTTTTAACCAGAACCAAATTACTCAGTCAGTACTATACTCTTGATGTCACTAGGGCGCAACTATGTGATGATCAGTTAAATCAGATCTTGTCCTCGTGGAATAATTGAACTCATTTGTGCCTCACATTTTCCACCGCTTGGCAAGATCGACACTTCATAGGTCGTTTTTTTGCTTTTCATTTCAGACATGAGTTGTGCCCTATTCTAATTTTTTTGGGTATTTTGCAGGAAATTATCGAACAGTACCATACAATCCAGCACGCCAACTTCCACTTCATTCCTCAACAGCTCTCAAGTCGTCTGCACCAAAGACTGCTGAACAGGACGAGCTGCGTGTGGAAGATGTTTCTCGTTCAGAAAATCCACTCTCTCCGCTCCACTGGGAACAGACAAATCGGCAAGAGATCGGATCTCGACAGCAAGACCTTCCCGAACCAGTAACAGACTGGATTGGTGGATTTGGTATTCTTCGGAAGCAAAGGGTGAAGCGAGCGATCCGTGTCGTAAATAAGGATCGCTACAATATGATAACGGAAGATAGTTCCAGAACGCCTTGGGGCCAAGCGGCGCGAATATTAAAAAATATAGTGCGCCGAGTCAAAGGCAAAAAAGATATCAAGTCGTCAGTGTGTATTGCGCTTTACAATTAATTTTGTTATGCGTTTTTGCTGTGCAGCTCAATAGCGTTGCAACAACCAGCAAAAACGCACATTATCGAGAGACTGTGTGTGAGTGTCCGGAAAGCGAGTGCATTTTGTCACCCACTTTCATTTCAGCAACCAGGAAAGCTGGGAGACTGAAAGTTTGGATATATGTTCCTACCCTGTGTGCCAGCCTTCCGTTTTAAGATCTTTCCCCATACGCGCCTAGACCCCGCTTACGGGGCCCCCAAAGAAATATGTTGGCGGGAAACTATTTCGCGAATCAGGTAAGGTAGAAAATTGAAACTTTGCAGGGATATTCTCTATGCACGTGCGAAAAAACTCAGCTGCCGAGCACCCCAACCACAGCCTCAAGCAGCTCCTGAACTTAAAAATCGTTAAAAACCCGTCGCAGCTCGGACCTGAACCCAATCATATATGTAAATGGCACTAGTTAATTTGCATACATGGTTTTTGCCATACGACCGCTCGGGCAATACTTCCACTTTTTAGTGAACTGGAAATTTGCATCCTTTCAAAAAATTTGCATCTGTCATTTTTTCATAAAGCGAGCATTTACCGAAAAAACGAGCGGACTACATGCAAAAAGCCGGTAAAACAGCTGCTATAATCGGTAAAACCAGTTTTCTGTAGTAAAACAGTTGCTAACTGAGCCCCCTAAGGAAGAAAGACCTCCTGCCCTCTCCCCCTCCCCGGTACCCACCCCAGAACAGCCGCGAAATCGTCCTTCCAATCCAACTGCTGTTCCGGAAAGTGGGCCCCGTGGCTGTTCCAAGATGTGGATTACGCAGCTGTTCTTAAAAGGCGGGCACCATGGTTGTTCTAAGGGGGATACCGCTGTTCCTATCTTGCACAAAACATTACGGTATCTTTCTCCTAGAACAATCGCAGAAGGCATCCTTCCCCCCCGTCGCTTCCTCAACATCTGCAAATTCCAAGCACAAACAAGAACCGAAAATACACCGGCCCTCCTTCACCCAACACCGACCGCCCCAGCACTTACTGTCCTCCAACACCGACCGCCTCCCAACGTCGACTGCCCCCAACACCGACCCCCTCCCCAACGCCCCCCAGCCCTACCACCTGCCCAACACCGCGCACAACCACCCGCCCCCGAACCAAACAAACCCACAAATGAGCAGCGTCTGACCGCTCAGCGAGGGGCTTTGCACCACAGTATATCGCATCGTACCCTACTCGTAGAATACCGCTTTGTAATTGTACTGTATAATGCAGCCCAATATCACCACTTCGAGAAGATGCAAGTCTAGAGCGGAGAAAGGTGGAGGGGCGGAAACGGCGGGTGGAGGGGGTGGGGCAAGGGCAGGTAAATCTGATGGGGCGCCTCAAAGTTTGATGCAAAAACGCATGATCGCACCGGCTCGTCTGGTGCGTTTTAGCCTGGGTTTTACTAAGAATACAAAGGCTGTATGGGTGAAAAGCGTTGCCAACGTTGATATTATCCAGATGCTAAATATCAGGTGTAAATATGCAGTTTTTATGCGTTTTTTGCAACTATGCAATGCAGAAACCGCATATTGACGAGAGGTTGTCTCTGTGTATGTGTGTGTGTGTGTATGTGTGTCTGTGTGCTCGTCTGTACCGATTTTTCATCTCGAGACCGGTAAAGGCTACAGGGCTGAAACTTTGGGGGAATAATCTACATGCACTTATGGGCACTCTTCCTCAAAATGGGCGGTCTTACCCGCGTGGTACCCGCATAAGAGCCCACCAAAATTTTTTTCGGGTAAGTTGATAACTCGCGAACTAGGAAAGCTAGAAAGCTGAAATTTTAAGGAAATGTTCCCCGTCCAAGTATGTGCTAATGAGCTCAAACGCAACCCCCGAGAAACGTGGTACCTGCGTACAGGCCCGCCAAAATTTTTTCCTCGCAAATTCATAACTCGGGGATCTGAAATGCTAGAAAGCTGAAGTTTGAAGGGAATGTTCCCCGTCTAAGTAAGTACTAATGAGCCCAACCCAATCCCCGGTAAGCGTGGTACCAGCGCACGGGCCCGTCAAAATTTTCCCGCGTAAATTCATAACCCTAGGGCCTGAGATGCTAAAAAGCTGAAATTTTAAGGGGGTGTTTCCTGCCAGTTTTGGCGGTTAGTCTTATTTGTTTAGCTAGAAGGATTTGCCAAAAAACCGATGCCAGTAGCGACAAAAATTGCGGGGAACTATGCAAAAAACGCATCTTCGTACGGGCAGCCCGTGCGTTGGCGAATTATTGTGTTCCTGGGTTGCTTGCCTTTAGATAATCCCGATCACTTTTGCCATGCGCCGTCCAAGTGGCAATTCGGTTTTCGCGGGTGCTGCTCAAGAATTTTGAATTTATTTGCTCTGAACTAGCACTCGAATTGCTTTAATATACGAATGTAGATTTTTTTCTGAAAACGCTCGCTACGTCACAAAAATCACGTCAGTGCTTGCTGCAAGGCTTTGCAGTACTGAGCATTAGGAAAGTTCAGGTGAGAAAATCTGAAATTAAAGCCGCGATGAGGTAAAGGGAGTGAACTGAACTCCCAGTGGAATGCATGGTCCACTTCATGGTCTGAATGAGTCATCAATGTTTCATCGCCAAATGCATCAGCTACCTCCTCACAACAGAGTTTTAGTCAGATTAACTAGAGTTTTAGTCGAATTAATTCTGCAGTATTTAAGTGCATCATTACAATCTCCACGATCAGAATTGAAGCCACGTAAGTGCAATAGCAATAGAACGATGCACTGTTAAACCTAGCGATTTTGGTGGATTATCAATAATTTAAAAAAAGTTATCGGACAGGAATTTAGGTGGTACGTTACTTTGGCTGAGATAAAAGAACTTGGGCTGGCGCTAAAAAAGAAGGAATCCAAAAAGAAAATGATCCAGGAAAAATTAAAAAAATTGTCCTCTGCTAAGAGACGAAGGGATTCGATCGAGGAAATACGACGAATTGCTGGGCCGGTAAGTTTTTGATTTTGAAGATTCCAGGCTGTAGAATTCTTTTAAAATATTTCCTGTTATCTGGTTCTGAAAACTGAATCGTATGAGACAGAATCAATTACAGCTGGCGATGATAATCTGTCAAGTGAAATGATTTTATTCCTCAAAGCCAATTTTCCAAAAATTCTCAAAAACTATGCAAATTTTTCAGAAGTTTGACGCACTTATATCGCATAAGGAAATAAACCGATATTTAAAGTCAAAAAACCTATTTGTTATTTCCCACTAAGCAAACAGTCAAATCTGTATTAAAATATACTTAAATAAATTTGTTAGGTTGCAGTTTAAAAATTTGCTAAATTTCCAACCAGTTTTTATAGCGATATATCAAGCAGTTTTGCAATATTTTTGTGCATTTTTTTTGCATCTGTGCAATGCAAAATCACTGGCGACGCGCACTGGGCTGGCCCGTGCGATCATGCGTTTTCGCAATATTTTGCGCCGTAATGAGATCACTCAGAAATCCAGTAGCTAGAAATATGTGATATACTGGTTCTCGAAGCCTGAGAAGATATTTGTCTACGCGGTATCTGGACAGCGAACATTTCGTTGAAATTTCAGCTTTCCAAATTTTCTTTTTGAGTTAGCAATTTTCCTGCCAAAAATA